CTACGTATTACAGAAACGACGAAGCGAAGGTGGAAGACCTCCGCGTCGGGCTCTTCGGGGCCGAGTGGTCGTGTTGAGCGCACCACGGCTGCTTCCAAGGCCACGCGTCGTGCCTCTTTTGCAACCAATAAATAAACGATTCGCCGGAATAACTCGCCAACGAATGGCAGCAGAACGAGAAAGCCAACCATGGCATTTGTATCGGCACGGTCGCGGCACCGCTGAAAGAAGTACCGCAAGAAACAATGAGCAGCGGTGCCGATTTCCCCCGGAGAAAGGCGGACTACCTCGCGGCACGATCCGGCTTCTGCATCAGGATCGATTACACGGCTCTGCGAAAGGAAATTTCTGGATGTCGCTTCTCTCTCTCTTTTCTTTCCTTTTCGACCTTGATTGACGACCCCGCATAATGTCGAGTCTCGAGTCCGCTTCCGCTTATTTCCGCACGAATCTCGATTACAAGCCGGGTGCGAAAATCGTCGAAGCAAGCCGATTATTTGGGGATAAAAATCCGTTCCGACTCGCAGCCTGACAACGCCTGTACCTTCGTGCATAACTTTCGCTGGCAGGAAATAATGTTGCTTTTCGACATAATTATCTCGTGTTAAATTAACACGAACATTCGGGTGGACTGTTTGAAACATGTGAAATGTTGTTAAATTGAACAGAAACTGTCTTACCGCGTGGACGACACCTGTTATCCGCGCGACCAAGTGCAGGGTTAACCAACTCGTCGAGCGATACCAGCGATATTAATCTCGCGTGCTAATCAAAGTACGTACGAGGCCGCAATCTCCTCGCGTGTTATTCTCGGCAACAGGTGTCAGGGCCATTCGCGCGCGGGGACACGCCGCGGTGGTACAGCCGGAAGCTGCGCCTGCAGCCGTCGGTGCCGTGCGTGTTGAATGATAATGATTTGCCGTAATTAACGTAGTTAGGATTCTTTCGTGACATGTAATGCGTCTCGTCGGGCTCTCCGCGCGTCGCGGATGTGTTCGCAGATTGAAAACGTAGTTCTGAATCCCTCTTATCTCGTCTGTTCGCGCGGATAACAGGCGCGGATCGCTGCGCCGCCCGGCCGGGGAAATCACCGTGTGGAAACTGTCGCTGCGTGTTCCATCTCAGGGTGTTCCATCATCGAGCCGACTCCCGGTGGAATGATCACTCGCCACCCGCTGTGATTATGCGATTATCGCGATAAGAATCCGGCTCCGATTTGCGCGAATGAAGCCCGTAGGAGTCGCAATTTCGCGAATTCACGCTCGATCGGTCGGGTTACAGCGTGAAGGAAGCCGAGATGGGGCCTCTTCTGTGGAAAAGCGATTCGTTTAACGTTACGATCGTTCGATTCTCGATACGTTTCCACCGTGTTGCCGCGGTCGCCGGCGTAATCGATGATCTTACTACGCACGTGCGCGGCGCGCCGCGTTGAAGTTCGCAATCATCGTCGCGGCGGGAAGCGCGGCCGGTATCTCGTTGGACGTTAAGCGTGTACACCTGCTAAACTAATTCGCTGATTAGCGCGGGATTATCGCCGCGTGTCACCGAAGAGCGATGGGTTCTGCCCCGCTGGTAGATAACGCAGCCGCAACCCGTCGTGCATTACGCCACCGTTGATTTAAGGACTACCGTCACGGCGGACGTGAGACAATTCGAGTGAGTTATGCGATCCTCCTCCGCGGTGACTCGAAATAGCGATTCCGAAATATGAACGTGAGATATCTGAATATTAATAGCCAGGCCGCCTCACGACGTAAGTAACACGAATTTGTTTATTGTGTATTTAATAGAATTATATAATATTTCTTTTCTACTAAAGAGACCTAGTGGTTTTAAATTTCAATTTTTCCGTCCAATATTTTCTAAAAATAAATCCCGATGTTCTGAATATTATGAATTTAATACTTGTCACAGTTATTTTAACACATACAAGTAAATGTCTATATGAAAGAAATATCATACCTTTCGTATATAGTCAGTTGTATTTCTATTTCTAGTAAATATTTGCCAAGGGGTATAGGAGTGACTATTTTACTTGGATCAAGTAAACATTACTTAAACAGTAGCATTTTTTTTTTTCAAAGTATCAACACAGCGTATTGTCCCACTAACACGTAATTCGTCTAGTGAACCGTTTTTTTTTTGTAGCGCGGCGAAGTCACGTATAACGTACAAATTTATGTAATCGTCGTTAACTAATTCACGAGGCGCGCGATCAATGATTTAAATGCCGGCAATGGGGGAGACACGAACAAGCTACAAAAATGCGGCGAGCGAAACCATACGCGCGTCAGGAGGACATACCTAACTGCAAGCACGATCAGCCTTATCGAGTCCCCAGGCCATAACTCAGCGATACCCCGCGCGAGAGATGACACTATCTATCACCCGGCCATAGAGAACCGGACGCCGCTTCTAGTTTCGTGGATCCGCCGTCTTAAGCGGCGGGTCAGAGTTCAAGTCGCGCGGGACTGTCGCTGCGGCGACTGACTCTTAAGCCGCGGCTCGGCGATCGTTAATCAGCCGGTCGTTATCCGACGCCGGATCGCGCGCATCCCAGATCCCGTGGCCGGAATAGCGGCTCCAACGGGAGTAAGTAGCCGGTGTTCTCGCGCGAATCGAGCGTACGACAGTGTTAATTGGAATTGGCGGCGGTAAACGTAAATCGGACCGCATTCGTTACGTTGTTCACGTTGCTCGCCGTGAACGAGTTCGAGAATATGCACGGAGCAAAAAATTTTCTCCCTTATATTTGTAGATTTGGGTCGTAACGCCTTCATTGGAGAGAGTCTTCGTGATCTCCTTGACCTTCGTCATGAGAATCGTCGAATAGGAGTCGTGAAACAACCCACTTGCTTGAATATTTATGGGGGTTTAAAAGGAAAAGAAATTAATTCAAGATTCTGTTCTCATATATAAGCAAGAATATAGAATATCTAATATTATAAGAAGATATATATATATATATAACTTGCTTACATGAATTCTTTGTAGAAATTCTATAAAAAATCCTATACAGTTCTATTAGAAATATCGTATTCAATTTCTTGAATGAGGGTCGCCACTGATTTTACCGATTCAACTGCTTTCTTCTCAGTGTAGGAATCTTCACATGCTTCTTCCTTTACGTGGAATTCTCGTTTTCTGTCCTCTCATCGATTTAAAATCGATCCCTAATGTTGTCGAGGAGAGAGATATTTTACGAAATTCTGAATATACATGAATTTAGGTCGTCCGTGTCATGCTTTATATATATATTGGTTCTCTCGTTAATTTGGAATTGAAATGAAATACGACGTTGCCGAGAAACGGTCGATGCGTTATTTAATTCATAAGCTGCGGAGAATGTCTGTACGAAATCCGTGAATTTGCATCTTCAGGTATAAATAAATGACGCGAATTAATTTGAACTTCAAATTTCCAGTTAAAATTCCCGTAAGAGGAGACGCATCGATTCCAAATCTCGTCGGATCTTTGCATGAGATCGTGAATGAAATAAGATAATTCGGAATATTTCGTGCCCGTCGCATTAATTCAACGCTCATACGCTGCGGGAACGACCATCTTCGATGGCGCATATTTCATGGAATTAAGTTAGCCACGAGCGGGCAAGAAAGTCGAAACTTAGACGCGTGGCGTATCTTGGTGAAATGAGCGCGGCTAATCACGAGAGAGCGATCTCGGTCGCGCGTGAAACGATATCGAGTTTGATGTCGAGTTTGATATCGAGTTTCGAGCTGCCACCTGCTGCACTTTACGAACATAGTGTCCTGATACATAATTTATAAACCGTCGGCGGTTACGAGCTTTCGCACAGAGAATGTAAATTCGTGATGACCAAACGGACTCGTCCGGACGATCGAACAGGTTTCGCCGCACGCTGTAATTAAATCCAATAGACCCTACTGGCCGCCGCCGATTTATTACACTCTTTATCCAATAATGTACAGCGCAAATTAGAAATTGCAAACATACACCTCGCCAAAACGTTACGCGCCGCGCGAAATTGGAGGGTATTGAATTTTATGCCCCTACTCGGCGCATCAATACCGAAGATTGATTCGCGGAATGCGTTTGCATAATCAATTTTGCACGGTTAGCCCGATTTAAATTCATACTTCCGCACGAGAGTAGATACCAGGTTAAGTATTTTAAATATTCATCTCTCTGCTCGGAGGCTGCGTGTACGCGCCGGGGTGTAATCGCGATTCACATCGACTGATCGTTGACCTCTGACATCGTCGCAAAGCGGGACAAGCTGCTTATCGCAATCTCAAGCTCGCGAATCAAGTTCTCAGCATCAACGGGTTTTGCAAATGCACGTGGAAACAAAAGTTGTTTTATCAATAGAATTGATCAAGAGCGCCATAAATGAAGCAAATTTTCTTGCTTCAATAAATAGCAACATATAGAAACCCCACTCGAGTTATTAAAGCAATGCATGATGTATTAGTTTCAATAATATTGCTATTGAACCAAAAAGATTTCCCGCAATTTTGGCACTGTTGATCAATGCAAATCTCGGAAAGATCTCGATTTTTCTTTTCCCCGCAGGAAGAAACCGTTTTCGGTCAAAGTTTCGCGTTCCCCTCGCGGATTCTACGTTCGTGCGAGCCCGCCGCGTTTCCCCGTGGTTCGCGAGGATTTTCGAATAAGCCTCGCGGGATGCTCGCAATTTATTCAAATGAGCAAAACAGCCCGGTGGGCCGCAGGTGATATTTTGCCCTAAATTACAAGCTGCCCCGCCAAAATGGTTGGGCGAGATGAGCCTGCGTTGCATGACAAAAAAAAAACGGTCGCGTCGCGAGAAACATCGCGATTCTTCTCCGCCTTCGTGGAAAACGCTTGTTTGCCGAGTCCGTACGGTTTTTGTCTCGCTTTGATTCCCGTTAAATTATGCAATCCCACCGATGTCTTATCGAGGTGTCCCGTCGAAATTCGCGTATCGTCTCGTCAACGAAGGGTTACTCAGTAAAAGAAATCTCATCGTGTGTTTCCAGAGTGCAATGTCGCGGGTTTCGTCAGTAACAACGGCAACGTGGAGAGCGTGCCGTACGTCTTCCTGCCGCAGCGGGGACAGATAATATATCCGCATGCGGAGATTCGCTTCGAAGGTAAATTCCAACGCGCGAACCATTAAACAGAGATTAGCCCGGCGGAGTGTGGCGCAAAACGCGAACATTATCTGCGTCGCGTGTGATCTCGTCGTTGAGTAAAGTGGCTCGTGTCAAATAGCACGCGCCAAGTCTATCCTCATTCTTTGTTAGGGATATTTTTGTTTCTTGCATATTTTTTTGTTTTTCATTGAGATTAAACTGGAGAAAAATAATTGTTTTAATTTTTTCCCGAATATGTTACTCCAAACTTCAACTACATTATTTCTTTTATAATTTCACCCAAACTTTACAGTGGTTGTCATAAACAATAAATTATTTGAAAGAAATAACACTATGTGTGGAAAATATTCAAGGACTTGGTTTAGGAATAATGTTTAATACATAATGAAATAAACTTTTGTGGAACTTTTTGTGGAAATTATGGAATTAAAATGATTTAACGTAGGGCCAAGATTTCGACTCGGCAAGTTGGGCTCTGCTTTTTGCGAGTGAGAAATTTGTGTCCACGCGCCTGTCTCGAGGAAGGCATCTCCCGTCGTTGACGTGCATGCTTCCTCTCGTTATCCCGTGCTTCGCTCGTCTCCTTCTCTCTCTCTCTCTCCATCTCTCGATACGTTAACACGGACATAAATTATCTGCCGTATAACTAGGTGTGACCACTCCTGTGTGCGGGATCGCAGGTGCCCAGCAATTGGGCAGGGCGGGATGGTCCGAGCTGAGGAATCTCTCCGACGCCGAGCCGCCCTTCAGACTGTTCCGAGACGAAGGCAGGACATTCCTCCAGGTCCGTGTGATGCGTAAGATGGACGAAAAGCGGTAACTTATCGCCCGGTTATTATACGGGTGCGAGATCGCAATTAGTCGCGCGAGTAGGTAGCGGACGGAGTCGTACGGGAGCGATTACCGCGCTCCGAAGAAATATGATATTTACGCGCCGGCGGCTTACGACGCGAACTCACGAAAATGCTCCCGGTGTATCACCTGTGCTCGAGTAGTGCGGAACAGCGGCCCTCGGGAGCCGAAGCCTTCAATCACCGTAATTAGCTCGCGGTCGTTCGGCGGCGCTCGGGAGGAACGGAAGAAATTCCCTTGCGCACGTGAAGCGACCAGACGGATACTATTATAATTCGAGAACGCTGCGGAACACGCAAAAAGCGAGCCGAACAGTCGCGGGAATTTGCGTAATTAATCGGACGCGGCATCTGCGATGCTGTTGGTTTTTGCGCCCCGTCGCGTGAGCGTCTTGCGGTAAATTTGTATTAATGTATAATGAAACCTGCCGCGATCCTCGTTGCCACTCATTATTCACGATCGATCGTCGACAGTGGATCGGCGAAGCTGGTCTGAGAGACGCGGCGGAGGGACGAGTCGTGACGGTCAAGCTGGTCTGTAGAGACGCATCGCCGAAGTCAATGTATCCCGGGGTTTTTACACCCTGCGTGGCCTTCAGGGTGGCCGGTTCACCGTCGAAAAATTGTACGTATAACGAGGAAGAAACCACTATATTACGCAATAATACCTCCTAATAATAATAAAAATTTGGACGTATAAAATACACCCACATACATTTATTTTGTATGTTTTATATATTTTTAATGCGTTAAATTTAAATGTATTCTAGTAACAAAAAGTTTTATTCTAGTTACAAAAAGTTAATTAAAGAATATATTTTTGTATTAGACGTACGAGAAGTGATGTTCGCGTCGACGTCGCAAGTTTCCCAAGGTCTATCAGCCACGGAGTACACCGCTATCGGCCTCTCTTCCGTGATCTTGGCCCTTATATACGTGGCCAGTGTGTCGTTATACCTGCACAGCAGAAAAGCGAAGAGAAAATCCATCGAGGAAGCGCACGTCACTCTGGACGGCGGTCGAGATGGCGGCGGATTAGTGAAGAGCAATCCGTTGTTGGTCGCTACGAGACACTTCGAGAGCGACACTAACAGCGGACTTACCGAGAGCGATTTAGGCGATGATCTTCCTCCGAGCGACAGTGAGCAGGGTTTCGAAAACGTAAGTGTAATATTATGTAAGACTATTTATTATCATATTATATATATATATATATTAGGATTATTTCTCCCAATATATAAGTAATCAAGAATTTCGAAATAATTAAATACGTTTAGATCCCTGTAGACGAAGCTTTTATTTTTTAATCAATGATATAATGAATGTCTTACTTGAATAGTACATCACGAAAATATTATTTATGTACTACGCAGCTCAAGAAACTAAATAAGAATAAGAATCTTGTAAATACTTGATTACCTATGGATACCCTCTAATATACATGGTGAAGCGGTAACTATTACCACCTTGAGTATCTTCGATATATGAGAGTAGAAGGAAAATTTATCATATTTATCTAACGCATTTATCTAATTGCATTGATACCATTGGCCATCATTTCGAGCACCTAGAAATATAATACCTTGTTCCGTTCTCACCGAGTCGTTAATAAAATATTTTTCTTTTTCGAAGATAGTAGCGGTAATAGCGATCGGCTCACCCTGTATATCTAACAGATGTCGTTCGAACATTCCCCGGCCGATGATGTATCTCTCGGACATCGTTTCAGTAACTTGAAGAAAATTACTCTCTCGTATCCCCGTGATCGCGATAATCGGCCGAGCGAGCGTCCGCATCCCGCGCGCAGAAGCGTTCGTCTGCCATTCTGGGACCGCCGCGCGCGGTTTAATAATGCATCCAATTAGCGCATTAGTTTTGCGCTCCGTTAGCCCGTACCATTCCAAGTAGGCAGAGGTGTATCCCACTTTTACGCGCGGTGCCGCTTGGAACGCATCACGCACTACAATTTCAGCGCATTCTGCGAGCCGCTTCCAGTCTCCGCGTAGCCGCGCGAAATCTCTTTCCCCGTTGAAACAGTTCGAACGTGAGTCGCGTCGCGTCCGGCCGCGGCAGAATGCGCCCCCGAATGGCTCGGCCGAGGGAAAAACGAGAAAAATCGATCGAATCGACTCGTTAATAACAACAGGCACGCACGGGTGGCACGCGAGTCATCCGATGGCCCGTGATCGGTCGCGCGAAATTGGAGGTTTCGCCGCGCGGAGACGAGGTAAGTTTCATAATCGGTAAGCTTGCCGCACTCCTCAGACGACGCGACTTCACCAATTACGGGCTCGCCTCGTTCTCGTGACGATGAACTCTCATCGATTTGGCGATGCTGTGCATGCTCTTCAGCAGATCACGTCCGCGATCGTTCATCCGCACTGCGTCTATCTGGAACAATCGGAAGGGCTCTTCGCGACGGGTTCTATTCTGGGCGAGAGACTGCCGGAAGAGGATGTACGCGTCGTGGAGACGGCTGACAACCCACATCAGCAGGATGTACCGGTTCTTCCAGGTGCTCAACGGAGGAAATTGTACTTCAATCCCGCGTACTTCGATCGACAGTTACTACTGGTGAGTCCGCTTCGTTCAACGGGGTGCAAGAGGGGGGGAATTTCCGATTCGCGCGAGTCATCCGCGCAAGTTTAACGTTTTCGAGGTGTAGGAATGTTTTAATGAACCCCTCGAAGCGCGAGCGCCGAGTCTATTCCCATTCGCGGCGCGTCTTCATTCACTCGACAAGATAATTTGAAAACAGCCCGGCGTTTTCTTAGGCCCCACCTCCGGCTGCCATCGAGTTCCTGCTCAAAATCCGAGAAGTCATCTCCATCGCCAAGCACAAGATGGCAGCGAAGAGATTCGTTCCTACTCTCACCGGTAAGTGACGCGCGCGTCTTGAGCGTCCGCCTCGGCGCGAAATTGTCCGATTCCGCGAAGTAAACGGTAAAATCGCGCGCACGAGCGTCCCGACGCGCGTATCACCGATGGTGATCGAACCGTCCGTAGACGGTATAGAAAACGCGCGAAACGAACGATGATATTGATATTTCCTTTCACTCGCGAGATTCCGGCGCGAAGAATAGAGAGATTGGTGGAAAACGTGAAAGTTCGGTCTCACTGGGTCTTTGTATTTTCAAATTCGCGCATCCTTGCGTGCGAATCCTCGCGGATTCTCGTCTGTCTCCTGCCGGCGGGATATCGCTTCGCTCCGGTTCCCAAACTCCCCCGAGCCGCTGAATCTCTCGCGATCGTGACGGCGAACCGCGAGATATCGACGCGTATCGGCGGGAAGCACTCCCTTAAGTCGAATCAATGAAAATGTCATTGATTGGCTCGGTAAAACAGTAACCCGATATATGTAAAAATACCTACAATCAATGAGTATTCACTTATTTTCAGCAGAAACACTTCCACCCGGTTCTTTTATCTTATACTCAGGCATGGGAGTGACTCACTTTTCACTTATTTCAAAACATCTCACTTTTTTACACTTTTAAGAGAAAAACACGAACTCTTCCCACTTTTCTCTTACCTGACTCGAGCCCTCTCAAAAAATACTCGATTACAAAAAATCATACTCAATAATTAGCTCAATAACTTCTTTAAAGATAAGATAAGACGTAAGAGGATAGATTTAGTGAAAGTAAAAAATAACAATGACTCCGACGACACAATGTTCATGAAGTGAAAGAACTATGATTTTATTTTTAAGTTGTTTTGTATAAATTAAATCGATTAGACGTCATGAAAAATCTTTCAGGTAAAATCGTTAACAACACTTTGAGAATGTGATTAAGATAATAATAAGAAAACCCATAAATCATATCCTTCCTTCACTGTTTTTGCACTTAGATTTCCCCGATAGAAACTATCGTTGCTATCGACAGACTTTCGCAGCGAAATTTTATCGATTAGCGATGCTATACTTATAACTATTACCACTATTAGTGACTATTAACCCCACTCAGTGATAACACACTGATTGCACTTTAGAGAGGCACGTCGAGCACTCAGCGGCATGACGCGAAAGTGGCCGGCTCCTTTCGCTCTCGGCGTAATAAAGCGTAATTAATCCGTCGTTTTCGTTCTCATCATCGTGACTTCGTAATCTGACGCAAGGTATCCCGGAAGAGGAGAGCGGCTCCGAGCGATGCGAGTCGGCCAAATCGAGCAAGCATCAGCAGAGGACGACGCCGAGTTCCGGGCAAGGTTCGGCCGCGAAATCACGTCGGTCCCAACGGTGCACCGGCTGTCCTGGCTGCAGCGACTCGCCCCGTCAGCTTCCGGCGTTGCCCGCGCTCGACCTGCCCAGCCACGGTGAGAGCAAGGTGCGTGCCTGGCTGGAGGACGTCCGTCCGCCGCAGCGTCGTTGGAGGGACGCCGAGGACACGCGTCGGAACTTTCAGGAGAACGCCAGGACGTTCGCCAGGAGCCTGGAATATCTCAAGGAACTGGCGAGGCGCGACTTCGCCGAGCCGGACGGTGCGAATCTGGCCGGCAAGTCGGTGTCCTCGTGGAAAGAGAATCCGCCGATGCTGCGGACCTTCCAGAACATCGCCCGAAGCGAGATCCTGGAGAACGACGATCGCTACAGCGTGTCCAGGCGGTCGACCAAGTCCATGTTCGAGGAGTCCGAGTACGAGCGTTACGCTCGCGGCAAGAGGAACCGGCCGGCGTATCAGTTCGCTGGCGACGACGCCGTGAACGCGAAGGTGCGCAAGGCTATCGAGAATTCCTTCATCAAGCAGATGGAGGAGAGCGCGGCTATGGAGAAAGAGAAGTGTGACGGTGCGAAGGACGACAAGAAGAATAGCAAGAGCGAGGCGGAGGAGGATGAAGAAGAGGAGGAAGAGGAGGAGGCGGAGAGAGAGCGACGGAAGAAGAAGCCGGAAGCGAGCGACAAGGTGGAGAGCAAAGTGGAGAAGGCGCCTGAGCAGCCGACGAACTCGGTGCCGAAGAGGTCGAGGAAGTCGTCGAAGGCGCCGAGCGCGCCGCCGTCGCTGCTGGCGAAGAAGGAGCTGCCGGACATGATCAACGAGCTGCCCGGCGCGAAGAACACAGCGAAGCGCATCATGGACGCGGTCATACGCGAGATGGTGGACGTGAAAGCGTTGGAACACCACACCCGCTCGTCGGCGGTCGCCGACTACGAGGTGGACAGTCTGGAGCGCTCCAAGTGCAGCCGGAAGTCATCGACGTCGCCGGAGTCGACGGACCAGTCGAGCCCGGCGCTCTCCACGGCGCTGCCGATGGACGAGGAGCTGACGATGCAGAACGCCGTCATCAACACGCGCACCGGCGAGATGACCATGTCGAAGCTGAACAACCAGATCCTCTTCGAGAGGAACTACTACAACAGCCTGCCGGAGCTGATCACGCAGAGGGCGGAGATGTACTCGTTGGTGAGCGAGGTCTACGTGAACGACGGCTACACCAGCCCGGCCTGCAGCGACGACTCCGGCCCGGAGATCCAGTACGAGCCGGAGAACCCGGGTCACCTGACCATCAAGGTGCAGGACTCGCCGGAGAACTACGTAAAGCTCGACGAATCCGAATACGAGCCCGACACGTTGGACCGGAAGCCGATGAAGCTGCGCATCAACGAGGACGTGCAGTACGAGCAGGAGATCTCCAACGAGGTCTTCGTGGACTCGCTGGAGAGACCGGCGCAGATTCTGCTGAGGAGCAGAGGCAGCTTCCGCGACGACGACTCGACGCAACGGAGATCGCAACGCGGTCGCGGGGCCGGCGGCAGCCTGCGCGAGATCTACGAGGCGAAGATCAGGTCGGGTCAGAAGGATCCGACGCCGACGAGCGGCGCGGAGTGCCGGATGATGAACGGCGGCGAGTCCGAGGAGAACACGCTCTCGTGGAAGAAGTGCCGCTACCTGACTCCGGACAGCAGGCAAGCGAAGAGGCAACGGCAGCCGTACAACCGGCCGGACGTCGTGCCGCCACCGCCGACGGAGGAGGAGATCTACCAGCGGCCGAAGCCGCCGCGACGCGTCGAGGACGCGAAAGCGTCGCCGTCAAAAAACGTCTGGGACAGGAGTCCTGTCGAAGCGGGTGACCCTACGGCCAGCAACGGCGCTCCTGTCCCGAACGACGGATACCACCATGTAGGGAACGAGACCCGTCTCTACGCGTCGCAGATTCGCGCGGACTCGTCGGGCGAGCATGAACTCTACGACGAGCGGCAGCAGCAGCGGACGGACCTCGTCGCTCCCAAGGAGCTCTCCGAGCGCGGCGTGGCCAATAGTTGCAGGGACTGCGAGACGCGCATCGAGATCGAAGGTTCCGCAGGCAGGTACGGGAAGGAGGACGCGTCACCCAAGGCGACGAGGACTGTGCGGGAGAAGCGGCCGGTCGTCGCGAGTCCGTCGCACAGGAGCTTCGCCAAGGCGCGATCGTCGTGGGGTAACGTCGATCATCAGCGAGAAGACGAGGACAGGCTGATCGACGGCGGTCGCGTCGTCGTGCCCGATCGGCAAGTGTGCCAGAGGAAGGGCTTGAACTACGGCAGGGCGCAGGGCTGTTCCAGGACGCGGCAGTCGGCGAAGGGGCTCTCGCGAGGCTGCGACTCCGCGAGCAACGCGATCCTACCGCTGATGAGCGGGGACAATCGGCGCGGCCGGGGCGCGAAGGTCGAGGACAGCGGCTACCTCAGCAGCACCGACAGCAACGGCTCGCACAAGCGGCTGCTGAGGCACGAGGTGAGCAGCGTGTCCGAAACCGACGAGACCGAGTCGGTGTGCGACGGCGCCAGCGAGAGCGGCGCCGAGAGCGTCGGCACCGACAGCGTGTTCTTCGGCAACTTCCGCAGGCTGTCCGAGATCTCCAAGAGCGCCGACTCGGGAGTCGATCTCGAGGCGAGGAGCGCGTACTACCACCAGGCGCCGTACGGCGCGAGGAACGAGACCGCCGGCCCCGAGAGAACGAACTTCAGCAACAGCGACAGCGAGACCGAGAGCTTGGTCACCGTGCTGCCACCCTGCGGCAGCCGCTGCCACAGTCTGGTAGCGTGAGAACGACTCTTGTGGAATTTTTCATTATAGATATTTCTCGTAGATGTAAGTTGCTCGCTTTGGAAATGTCACGAGGTCGATTGTGTGTTTTAAGACGTGAGAGTTAAAAGAAAGTGTAAGCGAATTTATTGGAATATTTATAGTTTCATTGGTCGATATCTAATGAATCACGACTCACTTTTGTAGTTCTCTCTACCTTTTGAGATAAACAATTGGACCGCAGGTCGCGAGACTTGGAACAGAATTTTTACAGTCGAACCTCCTTTCGGATTATTTTCTGTTAATACTTTGTTACATCGGACGTCTCATGCTTGTGTAACTCCAAACTTAGATTGAGACGGAAATATTTGAATTTAATTCGAATTATTCCGGAATTAACCCGAAATATATTCGCTATTTGACTTTATGAAGTTTCGCTATCTCATAAGCAATTATTCAACTTGGTTTTTTGTTTTCTAAAATACTGGAGATCCCGAAATACCGTCAATCATTATATGCTCAATCACTTACAGGATGACCGATAATGCGTTTATATCGTAATAAGCATATGCAAAGTAACGTAAGCTGCTTTTAGAACATAAGTGGAAATCAAAAACGATTTGCCATCGTACACTAGGTAGGATATCCGATATCAAATCCAATATGATTCGTGATTAGAATTCGTTGCGGAAAAAGACGCTTATTCAGCGGTTCGCAGTGTTATTACGCATCAAAAATAAATCTTGACAGATTGACCGATTAAAATTCATTCATTTTATCTGAAATAACAATTTTTTTTAATGAATAAACACGTCGTATAAATCTTTTCATATCATCGCACATTTCATATTTTCGTAGAGAAATTTCAAGGCCAGGATAGGGACACTAACATACTAATTAATATACTAAATAAACTTTTCATATAATTACGATAGTTTTATTAGTATTACGATCAAACATGAAGCGCTATGCGCTTAAAAGTTCATTAAGCGGGTAATTAATGTCAACTATATCTTTTTTGCTCAGTTCACAAGAGTAACAAGTGAGACTTACGTATGTGTGTGTGCCTATGTCTGTGTGCGAAATCTTGAATTTTTTTTTTGTATTAATAATTATTAAGCTAAGTGTGTTATATATACAGAGGCTCTGCATATCATCTTTAAAATCTCGTACATATATACACGTGCATCTATAACATCCCAATAACATATCTCTATTACGTACTTATTTATTTATATTTATTATTATTTACGTTAAAATATATATATTAGGGAAAACACGCGGAATAAAGTCATATTCCGATATTGATAAAAGCACGATTGCCAATCACATTTTTGGATTAAATAAACACTCGAGTCTCTTCATGATTCGGTTCAAGATGAAATGCGGTTATCGCGATTAAAATTACTTATAATTATTGCAATCGAAACGATTTATAAGCGTAGACATATCGTCGGCCGGAAGTGCAATATTAGTCCTTAGCAAAGAGAAATCGTGCAGATCCTATAATTAAGTAAATAGTCGAATAATATGTTGATATACATCGAATGTCTTTTTGCATATATTTATTCCAAATTTTTCCTATCATAATATTTATATGTTGGATGATATAATAAACTAAATGATACTATAAACGAACGATAAATGTGTAAATAAGTAAGGAAAATAACGATATCTTGCCAAAAAGGTATTAATGTCCTATACACGTTTCTGATGTTATTATTACAGTTGTTATGACAATAATTGTTATTGTTTTTTCTTTATATTATATTGCTCAAACTTGCAACTCTATTACAGTTAGTTAAAAGATGATTCATAGCGCAACTGATGTCTCATCATGATTTATTATTAATAAACAACCAAATAGTTCTACGCGCGCGAATGCAAACACTGCAAAATGAAAACTGCAAACTGTTATCCGCAAATAATGTACGAAACTGTATAACAGGAAAACTATATTTTATACGATATAATAAAATTTATATGGACTTAAGATATTATTTTCATAAATTATTGTGTCGGGATCTTCGTGATTAAAGTATGAAATATTTATCTCTCGTTGGTGTTTTAAATTATTCTCGTACATATAAAATAAAAACGGTTGTTTTCCTCTAAGATGATATATCTTCATGTTTGTAATTATTATATTTTATTTGCAGAAGTTTTATATATTTGATATATATATTTAATATATTTAATGATAATATATATTAAATTAATATATTTCTATCTCTCTCTATTTTATGAAAATTATTGTAATACTAGAAGCGCACGCTTCCATGTACCTGCCAAATGTAAATATTTGAAATAGATGTTAATTATATATCGTTTTTAATATATATATATATATATACATATATATAATATATATACATACGCATATATATGCATCGTTACAACATACTATTTAATATAATTTAAGTATGCAACGTATTGTTTCAATATACACATATATTTTATATAAAATGTTTATAGAAATAATATATAATATATATGGCCGTATTTTATGATCGTAAATATTTTTCAGAGCTGTGAAAATCGCTCTAAATATATACTATAGCGCATAGCATTCACGTTAATTTATTTATTCGCGTACTGAATGCCGGTGCCTAATCAATATATTGTATAACAATTATTTAATTAAAATAAGAATATTATATATAAGTAATTGCATGTAGACTGTATATTTATTAAATTATGATGTTTAGGGAAAACTTAGCGGAAGGCTTCGCGTATGCAATGCCAATAAGTTATATAATAGCCCTGTTCCTATATAAAATTATTAATCGCTGTTATCTTTCACTGTTACTTCACAAATCTTAGTTAATTTGAACTGCGTTCGAACATTGTTCCACTTTCTCTTTTGAACGATTGTAATGGAGCATAAGAGATTTTGGGAACAACTTTTCATAATTGTTCGGCCAATCTTGGTGCGCGCAAGTTGGTGTCGGTATCGATAGGTTTCAGGCGTTTGTCGAGCATTTTGCATAGAATAAAATACACGCTGTCAAAAGTTTTCGATAACTGTTTGTGGACGAAATATCGGTCAACTCTCTTGACTTCATCAAGCAATAAAAATATGGATGAATTGTTCTGTATTATCTGATTGAAACAACGTTGATGTCCTAGTTATCAAGAACATGTGATTGTGTACATATTTAATAAATCTTTACTATTTTATAATAAAAGCTGTTAATGGGAGAAATGCAAAAATTATACGTACGTGTATGTGTTCTCTTCACAGAAGTATCTATATATAAATATGTATAAAAAAAAATGTTTTAATTATTTTGTTTTCAATCTCCTTGCACCGGCGAGTATAAGCGAGTGATGTATGACTGAACCGTAGGTTTACACAGGTTTTTACCAGGAAATTATCCAAAAAGTCTTAATGTTCCTTACAAAGCTTGTCCTACATCCAGTTATGTCGCCCGCTCATTCGCTGGTTTTCATTAATTCATTTCACTAACAATCACGTAGATATTACTGTGATTATTAAAACCATTTCTTGAATTAGTATCACACTAACTTACAATGTAAACATATCTTTCACATGATATACTCCACAATTTGTGTAACCAAATATGAGCAACTCAAATTTTTTTCAAGATGGCTACAGAAAATTGCATGCTGCTTACTTTAAATCATGCTTCACACCGTAGTCAAATTCAAAGATTGCAAGTCACATTATTTTTTTCTAATATATATTTAAAAAAAATATACAAAGTACAATTCACATCTCGCGAAGATTGTTCTCTTGTAAGAATTACGTGTTTTTCACAGAACCTTTTACAATTTTGACATCATCTACTGGGCGATCGTTCTTATCAGTTTCAACTAGCCCGATTCTTTTCACTATCGCCATACCAGAATAAACTCGACCTATTAAAATATGAAAATACAATACAAACAATCCTGACAATTAAATTTCAAACCATTTCCACTTATTCACCATGGACTTACCAAATATAGTATGTTTCCCATCAAGCCATTGGGTAGGCGCAAGTGTAATGAAAAACTGTGATCCATTTGTATCTGGCCCTGTATTTGCCATTGATATTACTCCAGCACCTGCCCAAATTTTAATGCTATACAATAGAAACTTAATATATATCATAAACCGTCTCATCTGTCATATAGTTTAAGTTAATGTGAACAAAAAAGTCCTCTACCATTTTGCAAACCACACAAATTTCTGAGTTATTAATTAAAGGCACTTACATGGCCATTTTCAATAATTAATAATTCCAAATTTTGCATGGTTGTTTGCAAAATAGATAGATGTTTCTGTTTATATCAACCTAAACTATATGATAGATGATACGGCTGTCAGACACCCTGTATATATTTCTTTTCTGTATATCATACATTGAAACTCTTAAACAGTCATTACTAAAAAATGGTCTTAATCACCTGTGTGTTTCAAATCATCGTGTATCTCGTCATCGAAACATTCGCCATATATCGACATTCCACCTTTCCCAGTTCCTGTAGGATCTCCACCTGTATATAAAACAATCAGGGTAAAATATCTTCTTCGCTCATTGAAAACATTTCTTATGCATTACCTTGAATCATAAAGTCACGGATGACCCTGTGAAATTTGGTGCCATTGTAATATCCGCGTCGTGTGAGCTCGGCGAAGTTTCTACATGTGATGGGAGCGTGTTTCCAATATAGCTCGACCGTTATCTCACCCATCCTAAACATCGGGATCAATTAGCGATATGCAGTGAGCAGGTCTTGAGTTAAAAACACAAGATACTACACGTAGTTTCGAAAGTGACGAAAGGTGGTTGCCAGTGTTTATCCGGAATGCCGGAGATACTTGGGAGGCACATGGTGTTATTAAGTTTCTTCCTTGCGTCGTTTTCTCACGATTAAACGATATACTATCGAGGGGTTTCGTCGTGCCAGCGACTGCCTTATGTCTGGCAGAATTCCTCATGCAAAATAACAATCATCCGAGAGCATCGAGAGTGCGTAACGACACACTACCGGTAGTTAGATAACTAACCTACACAAGCGAACAACGTGGAGTACATAGACGCCATCTGTAATCGTTTCGTACGTGGGTCACACTACGTTAAAGCAATAATAAATGAATTTAGTGAAAATGTAAAAACGCGTTGAAGGTATCTCGCATAAGTAGTATAAATGTGGACCCCCGCATGCCGGACTGATTCATCACAGTGTCGTATTTTAAGTGTTCTGGCGGCACCACGAGCTTCCGCATGTGCCAGAACAAGTTAACCTGAATGAAAATATGTTCTCGCCCAGAGACTCGAGTAAATCGGATTACATTAGTTTAAATATTCACGACAACGCGTCGTTCGCACGAGGCACCTCGCGCAGTTTATGGAGAGTACGTATGTCCGAATGGAAAATATTGCTATTATGTGGCTACTTTCAGCCAACATCGACCGTCTCGGTATGCCGCATTTTTATCGTCGCTTCCTTGTCACTCTCATGGTCACCTGGTCTCTCTTTCAGCAATGGAACCAACTGTCCAGGTTTCAGCGGAACATCCTATACTTCGCGATTTTATCAGTTCTACTTTTAATATTTTATCTTTTGCCTAACGAAACCAAAGGTGGTACTTCTGACAATGAAGTAGACTATAGTAATGTAGAAATTATACAAGAAACTGCCAAGTACGAGAAGGTATGTTGCATCGATAGGCATATTTTGCTTTCTCTATTCTTCTTGTGCTTTTTCTCTTTGTTTGAAAATATCAAATTTTCTTTTATCTTGCAGGCAGTCGAAGAAGTTGTTGTAGATAATGAGGAACAAGGTGCTGGGCCTGGTGAGGTAATTGAGGAACCCGAGTTTCAGCCGGAGATCAATCAGGTGGACGATGATCAAATCGGTGAACCACCGCAGCCAAAGCCAAACATTCTCAAATTTAATGGTAGATCAAAATTTATGGGATAGATGCAGTAACAGTTGTAACAAGTATAGTTAGATTAGCTTGTATCAGATCACAGATTAAATTAGATCCGCAAGTGGGATCGGATTATAACGCTTAGGATTTTCAGGTCCGCAAAATAGTAGACAGCAAGCTGTTGTGGCAGCATTTAAACACTCATGGGACGGATATAAAAAGTATGCCTGGGGTCATGATAATGTAAAACCAATGTCGAAGAGGTATCATGAGTGGTTTGGCTTAGGTCTTACAATAGTTGATTCGTTGGATACTATGTATATAATGGGGCTAAATGATGGTAGGAATATTGTAGAAATACTTAAGTTCATATTCTGAACTCTTGTCACTTTTATCGATAAGAAGTAGCATAGCAACCACCTGATTGTGGCTGAGAAGCCACATTTAAGGCACTTTTATCGATAAAAGTGAGTTCAGAATATCTGACATCTTCCGCTTATCAGCAGCGAAGATATATACTGACAGTTTATCCTATCGCGTTTCAGAATTTACGAGAGCGAGAAAATGGGTGGAGGATAGTTTAGTGTTTACAATGAATAGAGATGTTAATTTATTTGAAGTTACAATTAGAGTGCTAGGCGGCTTACTGGCGGCGTACCATCTCTCCGGTGATATACTGTTTCTAAATAAAGCTGTAAGTAGCTGGTATAGAAAATAATTTCATTCTCGGTTGTTCTGCCAGGAGTATAGGACGTGAATATTAATTCGCCGTTGTTTAACGGCGCTGTTCAAGATGGACTTGGGCGATCGCATGATGCCAGCCTTTTCCACCAGGTCTGGTGTTCCGTATTCCGACGTGAATCTCGGTACCAGAAGCGCGCACAGCCCCAAATGGGGCCCCGACAGTAGCACGAGTGAAGTTACTTCGATTCAGTTAGAATTTCGCGATCTCAGTCGTAGCACGGGGCAACCGAAATTTGAGGTAATTGGGATCGAAATGACCGGTATCCGGTGACGAGTGTTGAAAATATTCGAAAGATCGGGGTCTATACGTACATATGAGTGTCAATTTATTATCCTTTCAGGCTGCAGCCGCGAAAGTTTCCGAACATGTACATAAACTAGAAAAATACGATGGCTTGGTTCCGATTTTCATTAACGCTAACACCGGGCTGTTTCGGGAATACGCGACGATCACGTTGGGTGCTCGCGGCGACAGCTATTACGAATACTTATTAAAACAATGGTTGCAAACTGGGAAAACCGTAGACTAGTTAGTATCTCCTTAGGATTCGCCGGGATAGCGTTAATGAACGTAAGAATTAACGTGTTGATTTTTTAGCCTGCGGAACGATTATTTGTACGGTATCACCGGGACGCAGAAGCATCTCGTTAAGTATACCGCAGTGAACAAGTATTTGTTTATCGCCGAACTGGTCGGCGCTAATAAAGAGATTAGGCCGAAAATGGTAAATAGTTTTGGACGTCTTATTTATCGGGCCGCATATTATCGTGCTGATTTACATTGTAGGACCATCTCACGTGCTACTTAGGAGGTACTTTAGCATTAGGCGCACATCACGGACTGCCAACGGAGCATAACACTCTCGCGGAAGAGATAGTTAAGACTTGTTATCAAACATACGCGACTCAGCCGACGTTTCTCGCGCCCGAGATCACTTATTTTAATATACAAGTAAGTCTCGAACGTTAGCGTCAATTCGGGTAGCTAAACGAAAAGTAGATCTCACGCGCGAAGTCGTACGTTAAAGGAAAAATTCGAAGAAAATAATACAATTGATGATTCTCCACAGAAAGTGGAAGGTGAAAATCAAATGGACATGTACGTGAAAACGAACGATGCTCACAACCTACTGAGGCCCGAGTTCATTGAGAGTCTATTTTATATGTGGTACTTTACGGGGAATAAGACGTATCAGGACTGGGGTTGGCGAATATTTCAGGTGGAGTATTGTTTCACTACTGTAGAGAGTCTCTTGTTGTTATTTTTCCGAGTTAGAACGTCTAACGTTTCGACAGGCTTTCGAAAATTACACCAGAGTCGAGGACGGCTACACGAGTATCGGTAATGTGCGAAATATCCATCACACTCGTCAACAGGACATGACAGAGAGCTTTTGGTTCGCCGAAACCTTGAAATATTTATACTTATTATTCGACGATTCCAGAAAATTAATCGATCTGGATAGGTGGGTATTCAATTCGGAAGGTCATCCATTACCAATATACGAATCGTAACGCAGTAGAAAGAAGCAAAGAACACGTGCACGTGAGTTTATTAAATTTATTGCACTTATTCTCCATGAGATCATTTCTTAAATGCCCGATCAGTCGTGACGCTTCCACGGTGAAAGCCTGTTAAACCCGGGCAGCACAAACTGCTAAAAGGCATCTGAAAGACGTCTGGCTCTTTTTAGACGTATCTTGGACGTCCTTAAGACGTCTTTTAGAAATTTATGATGTCTGAGAAACCTTTCGAGGTCTCACGACGTGTTTATACTCTCGTTATGGCAGAGCGATTCCTCTTTTACAACAATAAATAAGTCAGCGTTGTGTGTCACAGCGGCGATACAAAAAATTGCGACGATTTGACACACTGCGTGGCGAACTATCTTCCTTGGAACATTCTATAGTTTTGAAAGCTCGGGAAAAACCGGGTTTTTTTTTCAATTTTTCACGGATTTTTCGCCTGGTCGGCTTCTTTCCGCGAAAAAATTGAAAAGGACAGTTTTTTTTAAACTATAGAATATTCCTCAATGTTCAATTTATGCGAACACGATGCATCGCACTGCAAGGTTTTTTCAAAGATTGTTATTACGTAATTATCACGTCGAAAGATATTCCTCGTAAGTATACTGTTCCCTTAGTTTATCGCTAAAGACGATCCAAGCGAACGCGTAACATTAGCTGCGCCTACCAAATTCCTAAACCTAATAAATTAATGATAGACGCAAATAGCATTCTAGATACTAAATTATAACATTCAAAGATTTATATGGACACAATACACCGTTGATTTTTACTTATCGATGAGAACATTAATATCGGAATATCTCAGCACATATTGTACTTACCGATGTTTTACGGAAATCTCTCTCTTTCTCTCGAGCTTTTGTTGCGCCCAACGTAATTCTTAAAAGATACGTAACTGCGATAGATTTTAAAACAACGGACACGATTGTTTAGCGTCGACTTTCACACTAAATCCGTATGCCGTATATTACTACAAAAATAATCTAGTCTGCATCTATTAATAAATTACAACTGTGTACTTGCAATCTTCGACTCTATTACAAATATAAATATTTATATAATATTCCTGAAGATATCTATATAAATATTTATATAAAATATATACGGGAAACGTCTGTGTGCGATTCCCGTTTGCCATCGGTAAGGCGCGGCGGTGATTAAATCGATGGACGAACTCGCGAGTGCGTGGAACAAAGTATCGTTCAGTGGTTGGGACTGAATAGATCACTTGAATGGAATGCAAGAAATATCATGAGTAAAACATCTCGGAGAGCATGAAGAGAAACGTTCGATTGAATTAACGGACGAAAACGCGCTTTGGTTGGAGGGAACGGAATATCCAATTTCTAAGAATCGAATTTATAATTTATAAGAACTTGGGAAATTTCCCGTTTCCTCCAGTCAAAACTTCTGGTTCGTGCGTTGTCACGTTAATTCGAAAGGGAAAAGAAAAAAAGGGAAGAACTGTGAGACACAGAGCGCGCGCATCATCGATCGTGGAAGCGATCGAATTGAATGAACGTACACGGGCATTACAAAATAAGATCCGATTTAATCATCGGCTGCGCTGTTATCAGAATACGCTACTTCTCTAGTTGATGACGCGTTAAAATGAAGATATTGTTCTCGGGTTACTTCTTCGTTTGTAATAAACGCATCCTTATACGAATAACGAGAAATACTGTTTTGATACTGTTTGTATTATTTTCGTTTCCAAATGGAATATATATGTACACGTCCACTATTTACTACAGATTTGTCCTTCCAGCGCGCTATTTCTCGCCGAATCCCGATTAGACGCGGCGCGAGTGCGAGCGTCCCGAGCGCTTGTCGAGCGGTTGGTACTCCCAAACGCAACGGTCATTGACGTTGGCGTCCAGCGTCGTGAGGAAGACGAATACAGCGCGGCGGTGCGGCTTACCTCTATATAACAATACGCGCGCGCGCGCGACCGAATGAACTCGCGTATCTGTTACGACGTCTCTCCCGTGCATCGGACGCGGATTTTTACGACGCCGTGGCAGTGTACACTCGCGGCGCACATGTTGCAACAGTGACAAATCCCCTCGCGCGATTTCTCGCGCGGAGAAACGCGCTCGAAAAATACGAGTTTCGTTATCTAAGCGGCCCTCTCGGATCGCTTCGAAATGAATATTCAGCGTGACATTCCCCCGGTCGAACTTTCCATCGGACGTTTAACCGAACAGTCGCCGCTTGATGTCACATATATCACGAGATATAATGTCGAAGATTATCGACGGAATCCGGAGACGGAGCGCGCGTCTGCAAACGTTCACGCGTGCGTACGCATCCGCGCGCATATCAACGAAATTTTGTACACGTCGCACCGCAGGATTAAACTTACTGTCGCTCGTATGTATATCACAAAGTGTCCTAGCGGCGCGCGCCAATTATTGCAGTGTCAGTTCCTAAATGTAGCGCCGACGGCGGCGTCTCTCGATTGATTTGCGGAGTCGCGAAGAGGAAGAGGAAATTGTCGCCCTTTCGGTGTTTCTTAAGTCGGGATCCCCGGGAATCTCAGAGTATCGTGCAGTTGCAACATTGTTGCGTGTAATAGATGCAGTCGATCAGGCACATGTCCTCCTCGCGCTCGTCCAGCGTCTTCCTCACGTCCATGTCGAAGCCGTTCCTCTCGATTTTCGCCGGCAATTCCGGCACGGGAAGGGTCTTCTGCACGATCGGCATCGCCTCCTCTATCGCCTCCACGTCGGTGTTCAGCGTCTCGTGGTCGGCTGCTTTCGATATCTTCGCCGATGTCGTAGGCGAAGGCGTCGTCGTCGGGCTGATTTTCGCCAGTCTGGCGTCGTCCGGTACGTCGAAACCCGACGTGGATATCGTTGCCTGCGCCGGCGGTGACGAGTCCCCGGATGACATTATCACGCTGAAACGAAGAGGAAATATTTGTAATTTTAGAATAAGATTAAAAATTTGGAATAAGAATAGAATAAGACGCCGGCCCTTCGATAAGGGGAAGGCAAAAGCAATACTACTGTTGAAAAGAGATTAAATAAGAGACCAGAGATTTATCTTGTTCTCTTTTAGACGAGGAAAACCTTAATAATTCTTAAGAGAAATGTTTCGTCCTAATCGCTCGGAATTCCTAGATTTGGGAGTCATTATACTGAGAAAAATGCGGTTGGATCGACAGATCGGCGGGGTCACCTTCAAACAAATGTCGTGTCCATTGAACAAATTACGCGTTGGTGCAATAATACGTTGTGTTGATATAATTGCTGACCAAATCGCACTCGTTCAATCAATTAATAATTAATTACAGTAATTGTATAATTTGTTCAATGGACTGAGCGCTACGCTTGAAAAAATTTTGCTTGTTTTAGCAACGTTTCATTGATTCTATCACTTTTTCTCAGTGTGCACAGAAAAAGAATGATCGATTCAAGACTCATATTATTCTCATGCATATATGTAAGCAATGATATGCAATCTTATATGAAGATAAAACTAGCTGTCACATAAAGCAATTTCACACAGTTCCACTGAAAATCATATCATAATTTTACTATTCAAAAAGTAATTTGTTATAAACTGAGAAGAAAAATATTGGGAAAAACGATATCTTCGAATTAAGAATTGTGTCCGTTTGGAAATATCATTTTTTTCTTCTCGATTCGTGAAAATTATTCTTGAATAACAAAAATATGATATTTTTCATGGAACTGTATAGAATTTCTTTATGTATAACGGCAAGTTTTATCTTCATTATATCAGATTATATATTTTTGCTTATGCAAGATGTCTGACGCAAGCCTAAACTACAAGCATACGACGGTATGGTACGGCTTGCGTCGGACACCATGTGTATACGAGGAGAATACGAGTTTTGAATTGATACTAATTTTTCCTCCGTATCTAAGGAATGTTCGTTGTTAGGTTTTCGAGATTCCCACGCGGATTCTAGAAGAAGAAGCTCGAGTAGACCGCGGAACGCAGAACGACGTCTGGGATTAAATAGAACAATGCCTCGAGAACGAGTGTCGGTTCCGTTTGAACCCTCGAACCTACCACCGTGCCTTCTGGCAAGGGTGCGTTCGGGTTCTCTCCTCCGCTGTCAAGGTAGCATAGAACGACGGTTGCTCCAGCATCTTTAGAAGATACGGTCCACACAACTCACCTCTGAGCACTTTCGTCACTGAGACACGCTCCGTCGGTGCGAGATATTTTGTAATTTTATCAGACCGCTCGGTACGGTCTTTGAAACACTATACCCCACCGCTCCTACGCGCACGTAGCGTGATGCAACTCTAATAAAGTCCATCTAATCTAATCGTCCTTTGCATTCTCGGCTTTTCACATGTGCACGAGGCGAGATGAATTTTCTGCGCTCTCTGCGGAGAAGACAAAAAAAAAGGGTACCTAACGCGACCGGCCGAATCGACTCGCTCGTGATTTTACGTTCGAGTGCACGTTCGTTCGTTCGAACACGCGCGCGGCTCGTCTCTCACCGACCGGGTTGCATCAACATTTTGCGCCGAGTCGTAAAAGGCTCGTTACCGTTAACATCGCCTGCGTAACCTGCGTCGCATCTGGTGCATTATCGCACCGATACATCCCAATTGATCGAGAGTCTTGGGCACGTGGCGGACGCATCAGCGGACTGAATACCGTCGGCATTCTGTCGGCTAATGGAGGCTAATGAACGTCAACTGGATCTACCGCTGCGTGCCGTCTATGAAAATTCGATCGACCGCCGAGCGCGCATCGACCACGCTTCGAGCGTTTCCTCCGATCCTTCCTCCTCTCCGCGAAGAGGACCGCGGGGAACAATCTGCGTATGAAGTTTATTCATTCGAATGGGACTTCTCATGAAGACCAACGATCGGATACTATCATTGGACGCTTCTCCCTATCGATTACGCGGAGGTAATCAATCCTGAGATAATATTTATCAATTATAAGTCTCTTTATTCACCGGGGAGTATGGCGAGTGGGGAGTACGAAGTGTCGCGAGTTCGTCCTAATTAGACATTTAAGGAATGAAATTGCAAAATTAAATATGCATGACACGCCAGTCTGCGGTTTATTCTTTACGGAGATAAAATGATCGGGGCTGGATTGAATTAACGTGCGACAATGCACGAAGCAAACGCGTTTCCGTCGAGGGAAACGGACTTTCTGATTCCCAAGAACCGAGTTTGTGGTTCGGAAGGACCGATCTTTCCCGTGTAACGTTACGGAAAGAGGAGGAGAAAATGACAAGAAAGTCGCTCTTCTACGGCGCAAGAGGAACCCATGTTACATCATAAAGCCATAAACGCTGGAAGGGCGGTATGGAGCCGTGCCTACCCTCCGTGTCTCAATTGTACTCGCTTAGGTCAAACCCCGAAAACTGCAGCTGTCCTACGAAGCAGCTGAATGATTTGGTACCTGAATAGAAGCTATTTCTCAAAGTCGACGCAAAGGACTTGCGTCCTTTTGCGCGTAAACAATACCGGAATTGGAATTGCGCGTTGAATTCTCTCTTTCTCTCTCTCGTTAGCCGGTTAGCGTGCGATTTTCGGCATTCTCTTTACGGGGAGACGCTCGTAGGAACAACGCCGGTTCTTTCGCGCGGAACCGTGCCGCGCTATGATTGTATCCGCGACTTATTCAGATAACGTTACTCGCTCGTACCACGGGCAAACAATAGAATCAGATCGACAAGCCAAGATATACCGCGCGAGTTTGCGACATTTTTACGGCGCGGAATCGCAATATCATCGAACCTGTGTGTCGTATACTTTAACACCCTGATACACCGTGAAACGCTAATAAAGCGCGGTGGAAACCTTCAGCGCATCATCTCACTCTTCCGTTTGTTCGGTTGCAAAATCACTGCCACGCCGGCAAAGTCCATCGTCGGACGGTCGATGTAAGAAAAAGCGATAATAAATAGCGTCACACGGCTTTTTACGCACGTGCATGCGTGAGAGGTCGTTTATCACGTACGCAGCGCGCGTGTGAGGCCAATTATTACGCAAGTGTCACGATCGTTAACACAGGCGCGAAACGCCACCGAGACTGAGGATCACACCGTAACCGAGTTTGAATTTGCAACGCCGACTGCACCGCGAACGCGCGCGCACTTACACCGGCACGGCAAACGAATGCAACCGTGCGCCGTCAACGGTCGCCGTGAAACTGTCCCGCCTAAACCCGAGGAACGTTCTCCTACTCTGGATGCGCTTTACACGTGTTACGACAGTGCCGTACCGGTCACGAAGACCCGGTATGTATGGTCACGGTCACGTAAAGTTTCCAGGCACTTTTTCGGACAAGTTTCGCAACGCACCTCGCGTCCAACGGGATAATTTGTTTTCTCCGGTAATCCTCCGGAGATACATTTTTCTATTGGATACGAGGCTGCGCTTGGGAAACTCATCTTTGAAAAAGAAACATGCCTCGCAGCCTCTTCGTGGCTGATCGTATACGGTAGAAAAATTTCGTGTTAAAAACGGCCCACTGAAATCTTGTGTTTAACACGGGGAATGGTGTTGGAATAATATTTATAAGCGTTAAGATAACACACATTTTGCATTTTTCGATGTACTCACTTTGTCTTGAATTGACGCGAAAATTTGCGACTATTCGGGACACGCGAAATGTATGAAATTGATCATTAAATGTTTTATATAGAAACACCCGAGTCGAGGTAAACACGGGGGAATTCATTTCATTTCGTGAGAGATCGAGAATTCCTTTGCTCGTCTTTTATACCTTCTTATTCCCGATTCTTTGTAGTTAATTTCCACATCGCGCGAGCGATTAGAACAATGATTCTTTTAATCGCTCCTGTGATAGAAAAAGTGGCGGTACAATTGATTGTTTGATCAGAAAGATGGGAAGAATTGAGGCGACGAGAAAGAAATCGGGCGAATATAAAAGGTGACGCTTCAAAAAATCGAGGGAATTTTTTGCGGCTGTTTTTCTAACTACCGTTGCTCCAACCAATTATTTCAATTACTTAGGATGAATTCACGCATCAGTCCATTTCGGTTAATTCATTTTTTACGGAGTCTCGTCAAATTGTACTCTTCAAGTCTGTATTCCGATGTGAACGGGCGAAAAGTGATCGCTGGGGAGAAAGTAGGCGAACAGTTCTCACCGGCGTGGTTTTGAAACCGATGAATCCGAGCGCGGGATCACACACTTACGGTTCCTCTCGGCGAGTATTTACAAATACTAACCTTTGTGCAGTATTGATCGGAGCACGGAACTCGACGTAAATTCTTCTAACGTTCTACCAGTCTAGTTGACTCTCGCTGAGAGCCGCTTCTCTATCCGTTCATTAAAATATCTCAATATTTCGCGTGGAGCAAAAACAACAGTTTCAATAACCTCTGCACTTTCACGAGAGTTCGCTAATCTCGCTCGGCGTGCGAGCACGTCAATACTATCGCGATGAACACCGCACGAAACTCATTTCAATTTTTAACCGGGTTAAAACATAGATACCAGCGAGCCACGAGATCGGCAGGAATTTAAATCAAAACGGGAGTTCTCGAAGAAACCGAGACCGGCCGCGATGTTAAACGATTTTGTCACTGTACCAAAGGCGCATTCGCAAGTCGCCGACGAAACGGCACGGCCAACGGGAAGAATTGAAGAGAGCGAACGTCAAATGATGATAAATCGTGCAAACGGCACGGACTGTACCGGGGATCATTGTGAGCCGGGACTTGAGAGCCGATCTCGTCCGGCTTCTACCGTTTCTGCCGAAAGAAATTCCTCAGTGGAGCCGTGGCCGGCCGGCGAGCGGACGCGTGCTGGGATTACAGGATGAGCGAAAGTTACCGGACTTAACCTGCGACGTTCGTTCGCGCGCACCGAGAATATCCCTTTTTTCTCTTTCTCCCCCCAGCCCTCCTTTTTTTCCGTGACTTA